TGGCTTCCTGATTCTCTGAGCCAAGGATCTTACCTCTTGAAAGCAACCTAATTTATATGTGAACCAGGAACTTCACTGGGTCACTCTCTGTCCCTGATTTTTGTTTGTTTTGGGTTGTTTTTGCATGTTTACTTGCTTTAGGTAAATTACTTCACATCTCAGAATCTCAATTTACCATCTTCAAAAGAAGGCAGGTAGATAGAACAGTGTGTTTTTAACCTGTGGTGTTTAAATGCTGGAAGGTTACTAGAGTTACTAAATGCCTAGAAATTCAGATTTTCTGTGACTTGTATGAACTTGATACAGCCCCTTTCTGCTATAGTTTTAAAATTTATGCAGAAATCAGTTACTTTAATGTTACTCACTAATATAATAAAACCCAAGAACTTATTTGTCTGATAAATGCTTTTAGTAATTGATTTCTAGCCAGGGAATATATCTGATGACCACATAAGTGGTTGCAAAATTGTTTAAAGCTAAAAAGCTAGAAAGGAATCTTCCTTGAGAGTTTCCAGAAACTAATTGTTTTTTCTACTTGTGAAAGAAAAGAATTGTACAGTGTTATTCTGATCTAGCTAAAAATATTTTAGTATGGAAGGTCAGATTTCCAAAGATGGCTGCCACAATGTTTGGTGTACACATATTTCCTATAACATGGTGCCATTCTCCCATAGACCTGGGAGTCTAATTACCAGCTAGCTTCTTATGTCTGGTGGTATAGGACTTCTAAGATTGAGTCAGCAAATAGTTTCAAGTTCCTACCTAGTTCTTGAGATACTCTTTCTGGGAGAAGCCAGATACACCGTAGGACATCTATCATATAGGTACTCTATTGGCTGTCCTGGCTGAGCCCAGTCTCTGGCCAGCCTACATGCTAGGCATGAGCAACCTCTGAGAACCATGTGGAATGTGACAGAAGCTCTTTCATATGACAACAAAAGGGAAACTGTTGAAGCTTCTTAGAGCCAACAGGGCCTCTAACGAACCTCAAGACACCCTTGAGCTGCAACATCAGCCACTGAGAGAACAAATTAGAGGTACTTAGAGGACTCGAGCTGCTCTCACGCTTACGTCATAGACTCGAGCTGCTCTCACGCTTACGTCATAGACTCGAGCTGCTCTCATGCTTACATCATAGCCTCAAGCACTCACGCTTACATCATAGACTCGAGCTGCTCTCACGCTTACATCATAGACTTGAGCTGCTCTCATGCTTACATCATAGACTCGAGCTGCTCTCACGCTTACATCATAGACTCGAGCTGCTCTCACGCTTACATCATAGACTCGAGCTGCTCTCATGCTTACATCATAGACTCGAGCTGCTCTCACGCTTACATCATAGACTCGAGCTGCTCTCACGCTTACATCATAGACTTGAGCTGCTCTCACGCTTACATCATAGACTTGAGCTGCTCTCACGCTTACATCATAGACTCGAGCTGCTCTCACGCTTACATCATAGACTTGAGCTGCTCTCAACCTTGGGAAGAGAAGCTTCACACATGAATTCACAGCAGCTGTGGTTATCTTCCTAAGATCTGCACAAAACCAAGCCAGTTACTCCTAGCAGTAGGAGCAGGGGCTGTCTCTGACTCTTTGACCTACTTTTGGGACCCTTTTCCCCCTACTGGGCTGTTCTGTCTAGCCTTAATAGGAGGGGAGGCACCTAGTCCTACTGCAACTTATATGCCAGGTTTGGTTGCTATCCAAGGGAGGGCTGCCCTTTCTGAATACAAAAGGAGGAGGAATGGGTTGGGGTGGGGTGGGTACAGAGAGGAGAGGAGAGGGGGAGAACTGTGGTCAGGATGTAATATATGAGAGAATTAAAAAAAAACTCAATGTTGAGCCAGGCATGGTAGCACATGCCTTTTATCCCAGCATTCAGCAGGCAAAGGCAGGTGGATGTCTGTGAGTCTGGGGCCAGCTTGGTCTACAGAGAGAGTTCCAGGACCTATACAGAGCTATACAGGGCTATACAGAGAAACCCTGTCTCAAAAACCAAGCCAAACCAAAACAAAGAACTTCTAATATTGAAGTGGGAGGGGCTCCCCAGGTCACACTGTTAGCTGAGATATTGGCAGCTGATAGCGTCTTGGAGAGCAAATAGTGAGTGAGGAGGCTGGGTTTCTAGTAAGCAGCCCACCCCAGTGGATAGCTCCACACCTGTGTGCATACAGGCAGCATTAATTGGACTCACTGGGCTACAAGTTTTTAAATTTAGAAAAATAAGTGAACTTGGGGGGAAAATGTTTGTTGGTAGGGGTCCCAAAGGGAGAGAGTCAGGTGGGTATAATAAAGATACATGTGTGCAAAATATCAAAAAAAAATAGAAGAAAAAAAATCAAGATTTGTTAGGACAGGTTTCTAATCTTCACACAGTGGATTCCTGGGATTTCCTGGCCAGCCAATCAGGGAGAGAGCCTGTCTTGAAAAAGATCCATGGCTCCTGAGGGATAATATTATCACACACACACACACACACACACACACACACACACGCATACATACACACATGCAGCTTATAAGGATTAAAGTCTGATATCCCAGACACTCTTATTCAGACACTAATTATCATATCTTCTACATCACCGTAACATTGTATCTCATGTAGTTTTTTATTTGTATTTAACTTAGGCAATGATATCCAGGCTGTGGTGAGGGCAGCATGTCCCCTCCGTAGTACCTTTATCTAGCAGACACCCAGTGCAGTTTGGCAAATGAATGGTCAATGAAGGAATAAGTTGATAAATAAGAGAGTGAGTGTGAAAACTGATTCTGCCTCTATGAAGATGGAGTGTCCTTCATCTATGAAGATGAAGAGTCCTGTGTCAGTAATTCCTGATGTGATGTGGCCTTTGATGTAAGGATACATTTGAAAGGAAATCATAGAAATGATAGGGTGAGGCTGAGGGTCTAACTTTTGTAAGGTGTAGGGCCTACACAACTTTCACATACATGTACATGTAAGACTTTTGGATCTAAATGTAGGATTTTCAGGTCTCAGTTTGAACTTTAGAAGAATCTCACTCTCCCAGGACATATCCCAGGAGGGGCACATTCCTTAGTCAGAGGACACTTGCTGGATTGACATTCAGAGGAGGAAGGGAGAGGCTGATTAACATTCCTCAGACCACAGGGGAGGGAACCCACCTGCAGGTAGAGAGAGCCCAGAGCATAGATACATTCCAGGAATCAGGAAGCAGAGCCCTTAATGTAATAAACCTGACACTCCTTGTCATAATCTCAGTCATCTAGGGATTGAACCTGGAAAAGTCAGGCTTTGTGGTTTGCCCTCATGAACTGTACTGTACCCATAAATACTGTACTCAGCTCTTGTTTGGGGCTCTCTCTCTTGCCTGCATGCGAGAGAGTCCTAGTGCACTAGTTTCATTAAACCGAACCTCATGTGATTGCAGCGAGTCCTGTCCGTGTACGTTTCTGTGGGAGCGCGTCCCCTGGTTTTGGATTTTACAGTCCAACATACACACACATGTACACACATACTCACATACACACAAACACACACTCATACACATGTACTTACACATATTCACATGTACACACATACACACACATATTTTTACACATGTACACCCATACTGACATTAACACACACACACACACACACACACACACACACACACACACACACAGGACTGTTAGTATTCTGTATAAACTCCACCTCCACCGTTATCTGGCAACACCCAGATATGCTCCTCCCACAGTTACCTGGCAACAGCCAGGTAGGCCTGCCCACTATAAAAGGGGCTGCTTGCCTCCTCCTCTCTCTCTTGCTCTCTTGCTCTCTTGCCTCTAGCTTCTCTCTGTCCCCTTGCCTCTCCCCCCTTCCCTCCCCCCTCTCTCCACGTGGTCATGGCCGGCCTCCACTTCTCTCCTCTCTCTCTCCTCTTTCCCCGCCATCTTCTCCCGTTTCTCTCCCCACCTTTGCCCTCTGCCCTGAATAAACCCCCTCCCCTGTGGAACCATTTGGTCTGGTGTTGTCTGTTCTAAGCTGTGCGCTGAAGTCTAACACTAACTAATGGGGTATAGACTGAAGTGGGACTGGATCTTCAGGTTTACCACTTACTATCAGGATGCAGTGGCCATGGAAACACCTTGTAAACTCCTTCTGTAGGGACTGGAGCTAGCTGAGGGTTACAGCCTTCTGAACTTGGATGTCCATCTTTGGATTCACACTGTGGCCAGGCTGCCTAGGGCTGCTCGGTCCAGTAACAAAGTACATAGGGGATATTAAGACAGGCCCATGGCTGGGAGACAGAGCTCTGGAACCTCCCAGTGGCTTCGCTGAAACTCTCTTAGTCTCAGTAGCATTCAAGGAGACTTTCCATCCATATTTGCTCATCTCTCTTTCCTTGAGGGACAGAATTTCCTCATGTCGATTTACTCCCAGCTTTTCCATTCTGTAACCCAGTGGAATTTCTCCAGATACAATACTTGTATCTTTAATCTGGTCTTGGTGTCTGTTACTCAGAGGCTCTGGACTGTGACACGGGGGAAACTTAGTCTAGTTAGTCATCTTTTAATCTCTTCCTTCACCTGCAATAATATGACCCTTGACCTGGGAATTGTACAAATGACTAATGAGAGACAGTGTATGCAAAGCTCATAACCCTGAACTTGGTGAACACTGATGCTTATTTATGTGCGATTGTTCTCGGCCTCACAACCTTTTTTCCTTTAGAATAGCCCTAATGATTGGGGGAAAGTCATATTTTCTTGGATACAGCTGACCTATAGTTTGGAAACAAATGAAAACTTAGTGTTACCAAATAGTCATGTGTTAATTACAAGCCCTTCCCCTCCTTAACTGCTTCTCCATTGTGGGGAAAGCCTCACCTTCTAGACCTCTCTGAAGTCTTTGATGTCTTTAATAATGTGGTTTGAAAGGGAAAAAATAGCTGCAGGGAAGAATCTGATTAAACTGTGTGTCCTGGCTTTATTACTTCCTTCAGTGAGGTCAATGCAGACCGTTTTACCTTATCATCCAATTTCCGTGCATTGAATGCAAGCTCCACGTAGTCATCATTGCCCGATAATTCTTCAGCAATCACCTAAGAGAAAAGCACACAGGAGCTGCTCAGCCCAGGAGCCTATCAGCACGTGCGGGTCATTTTGGTCTCTAAATGAACAATCACAGACATTGGGTAAGACATTTCTCCACAATCCTTATGCATACGTGCACTATTTCCAGCCCTGGAAGGGAGCTCACTAGAATACACAGCAGTGGGGTGACTAACTTTCAAACCCTGGGTGTGAAATATGAGATGGGACCCAGGCTGTGGGTAGAGCTATCGGGAGAAGTAACTAAGAAAAGCTTCCTGGCTGGGCTTGGTAATGCATGCTTTTAATCCTAGTCTTTAAAGGGTAGAAGTAGCCAGATCTCTGTGAGTTCCAGGCTAGCCTGATCTACATAGCAAGTTCCAGGTCAGCCAGGGGCAATATAGTGAGACCCTGTTTCAAAACAAGCAACCAAACAAACAAACACCCCCTCCAAAATCAACCACCCAAACAAACAAAACCATTATAAAGTACCTGCCTTTTCTTTAACAAATCACTAGACTCATTAACTATTGAGAAATGTATTCATTACTAGTGTCACAAAGGATATTAATTTGGGAATTTATTTTATTTTATCTTATTTTGTTTTACTTTAAATTGGGACTAAATTTGCTGAACTAGCTACTGTCTATAGAACCAAATAACAGAGCTCTCCAATCTGTTGCTTAATGAAAATTGCTCAGGCTAGCATCTTCTTGGGCAGCAAACCAACCTTGAACTAAATGCTTTTAAAGTAAAAGTATTTTGTAGAAGAAAGAGAGAGAATGAGAGAGAGAGAGAGAACACACTTTGCTGATCTGAAAACCACAGCCAATTCCATATTCTCACTGTGTTCAACAACGTTAACTTTTTTCTTTCATACTCTCGTCTTGTGATTGCAGAAACTCTCAGAAGGAGTGAGTGATATTCCTTCTGTTCAAACCTACTTTACTTCTCATTTTCGCTCAAAATAGTTTAACAAGAAAGAAAAAGATGGAAGGGAGAGAAAGAGAGAGAAGCTGTGGGTAGTTCAGTTAGGTCCCATCATGTAGAGGAGACACTGTCCTAGTGTCTCTTTTGGATTGGTGAGTGCACAGTGTCTGACACCTGTTGCCCCTACAGGGCCAGCTTACCGTGATGGAGGATTTCCCTGCTGTGTTCCCATGCTTCAGCAAAGACTTAGAAAGCTTTCTCTGGGATACAATCTGCAAAAGGAAACAGAAAGAATGTGACTACAGCCCTATTTTTAAACATTCTCCTCTGCAAAATGCTTCATAGACGACAGCTCCACCTGAAATCATCCATGGTCACTTATGAGTTCAGCCTTGTTCCTGGGTCTCTTGGAATACAAATTAGCCTCTACTTTTCCTCCAGTGTATGCTGGAAGAAAGGGGATTTAGGAGGCGGTGAAATTGTTGCTGAGACGATCATATCATAAGGAGGAGGGCAGTGCCAAACGTGAACATCAAGATAGCAGGAACAAAGCTTTGGAATCATCTGAAATTAGCATCAAATCATTGCAAAGTTGATGCCGGGAGGAGATCCTGTTAATATGGAACTTCTAGGTCTGAGACCTCTGGGGTTCTATTTTCAATATATCCATCAGGGAGCTATCTGTCTCATCAGGAAACCAATGCTCAGACAAGCCCATGGCAGTAACTTGGGTGTTCTTCATGACCCAGTGTCTGTCCATGCATGTAGGAACAGCTACATCATCACATTGGAAGTTATTCTTAGAAGAACTTGCTTGTCTCTCTGATTTCCCCGACCTTCTTGTCTACTGTGAAAGGCAAGCTTGACAAGACATTGTGACAGGGATGGCTACATAAGCCACGTCCAGAGGGGAAAGGAGTTAAGAGAATCGAGTGGGTGCTGTGCCCGTGCTTAAGGGAAACAACATCACACTCTCTGACGGGCAGCCTCTGTCCAACATGGTCCCCAGTGATGCTAGCTTCCTGGTGTGATGCTATTGTGTGAGCCCCTCCATTGAGTGTGGCACAGTGACAGCTTCTAGTCATTAGCACACCTGAAGAGTGGAGAGAGAACATATGTTTGGAAACTCCCATTTCTTGTATTTTTCTGGGGGACACAAGTAACTGAACTATAACTTAGCCTGATATAAAGCCTCATGAAGCAGAAAGGAGCCGATGGCTCTTTTTAACAGTTGAGCTCATGGGGCTGGGAGGAAACCATCTCTCAGCTAAGCCCAGGGACAGCAGTACCCTAACTTCGTCTTTGACAGGCCCTTATCTCGAAGACCTAGAAAAGCCATACCCTGTAGAAACAAGGAATAGTGAAATGATAAATGCTCACTTTTGTAAAGTTACTACATTTTCAGGTAATTGTTTAACTTTTTGTTAATCACAGAAAGGTAGGAGAGGGAGGCACTGTGTAAAGCTGGGAGACAATCTATTCTCTGAAATTCTCATACTGTGTGTTTCCTGTCTCTCTGCTAGAGTAGTGAAAACACAGACCATTCTAGTCAGAGTCAAGAAGCATAGATACAACATTCCCGGGCTGAGCAGAGTGACAGGTCAATCAGAATCCTGTGCTCATGGTGCTCGTTGGGCTGTGGTCTGAAGAGCAGAGACTACTTCCAACATGAAACCACCCTGGGGTCACACCAATGATGCTGGTCACACCAATGGTTTCTGCGACGACAGCTCCATGAAGCCTCCCGCTTACAGAGAGCACCAACATGTCAGATGCCTTAACTCTGTAGATATTCATCTTTTCCCCACTTCATGCAAGACTTTGGGCCAGACGCTAAGAACAGGCATATGTGAAACCAGACCTCTCAGAACACAGAGTTTCTTCCTATGAGTCTTGCAGCAGGAGTGTGGGGAGCACAAGATGAATAAATGACCAAACAGCAATTATCTGTGAGCAGCAAGTGGGCCAACATCTGATGGGAGATGTTTCCCGCTTTCCAGGTTAATCTGCTATCCAGAGGGATTTCTTTCTATCCTCCTTGTACTTCGCCCACATTGGTTACCTACCTGGGTTCCAGTTGATCCCAACAAACTTTAAAGGACTCTAATAGCTACTCGCAGGTACAGGTGGATTGTCCCCACAAGCTGGGTCTTACCAGATCCACATTTCTGTTGCCTCAAGCAGACTTAAGGGAAGTCAACACACAGGGAACCAAGTCAGACTGTGGTGTACTGTCTTTAGTCTTGTGAGGGTGGGTACACATGTTCTCATGTGTGCAGTTGTACGTATATTTGGCTGTACACGCACATGGAGGTCAGAGGGCAATCTTGGCTGAGAGTTTTTGAGACAAGGTCTCTCATGCACCTGGTACATACCAGTTCAGCTCTGCTGGCTGGCCAGTGAGTCCTGAAGATCTGTTTACCTCCGCCTTCCCAAGATTACAAGTGTATACTCCCATTCTTGGCTTTTATTTATTTCCTTAACTTGGGCACTAGAAATAAAACTCAGATCCCCATTCTTTGTGAGGCGTCGTTGGCCCCAGCTCCCTTTGTGATTTCCAGGCTTATCTAGACACACCAACATTGCAGTTGCAGGATGTGAAGAGCCAGTTACTGCGTGCCATCTCCTGCCCTCTGCATACTAGAAAGTGGGCATTTTGGGTCCAAGTGGCTAACCAAACAGGCAATAATGACTCACTCTAGAGTCTCTAGGTCTCCAACTCAGCTTCCAAGAACAAATAATAACTAAGGTTTCAAAGCTTCCGTGGTATCAATGATAGACATGCAATGGGCCGTCACTGTTATTGCCATTCTTGGGGCTCTTGGACAAAACCAGCATGGATGCCCAGCTGGAGTGTGGAGAAGTCTGTTCACTGCACATCCTACTTGCCACACATATTCTGTCGCTTTGTGCCAGGCTGGAGGAGACCTCAGGTCATGCCTTGGAATGCGGAAGTCAGAGTGACAAGGACCCACCCTGGCTGCAGCTGACATTTGAGGCCAACAAATAATAAGGTTTGCTTGGCATCAAGGCTAAAGGGGGTGTACCTGTCACAAGTTCTTGAATTTGATTCCTTTTACCCGGTGGCAGGGTCACAGCTGCAGACCTTTGCATACTGCAAGAGGGTGATGTACAGAGAGAGCAAATGGAAGCTGAAGCCCCCGGGCTTAGCAAGGTTGGAGCAGAAGGACATTTGCACCACTAGGAATCTGGTCTGCATGCAGCCCTGGGCCAAGGGCGGGCAGACTCCTCCAGTGAGGATAACACCAGTGGCCAACAGCACAGGTCTCCATTTTCAGTAAGCCCAATGTTAACTGAATAGTCTCCATATTTTTTTTTTCCATAAAGCCCAGAGTTTCATTTAAACAAATAGGACCAAAGCCTGGAAAACAAACATTTAAGCCAGCGTTATAGCAAGTATATAATCAGCTATATTTAAAAAATAGTCATTTGGAGACCAAACATGCATTTGTCATGAAGCTGCTTGCAGTGAAAATATTCTCAGAATTCTTTTTATAATATGCTTTGAAATTGGTGCAGTAGCAAATATTTATTGAATATCTTCTATGTGTCAAACATTGGCTCATATGCTACAAAGGTGGAGAGAAATCCATTAAAATATATTTATAACATTTACTTTACTCTGTTTTGTTTTGTTTCGTTTTGAGACAGGGTTTCTTTCTGTAGCCCTGGCTGTTTTGAAACTCACTCTGTATAGTCTAGGCTGGCCTCAAACTCAGAGATCCACTTGCCTCTGCCTCCCAAGTGCTGGGATTAAAAGTGTGCACTGCCACTACCTGGCCATATTTTAAATATTTTTAATTTAAGTAAAATTACATCACTTTCCCTGGATTTTTTTTCTCCTCCAGCTCCTCTCAGCAACAGTCCCTTGAGCCCCTCATATGTCCTCCACTCAAGTTGATAGCCTCATTTTCTTTGATTATTTCTCTATTATTGGTATTTATATGTGTGTATTTATATATTTATATATGTCTGTGTATGCACGACTATGTATAATACAGTCTACTGAGTCAGTTTTTGCTGTCTTTGTGTATATGGAGTCAAGGTTGACCACTCTACACTGGACAAGCAATGAGGGTGCTTGTCCCTGGAAGAGATTAATTCTACTTCTCCCAGCAGCCGACAGTGTAGAATTTAGCTTTAGGAAGGGGAAGCGGTGCATTGGGCTGAAAGGAAGGTTGTTTTTTGTTGTTGTTGCTTTTGTTTGGAGCCATGTTCCTGAGAAGGAGGTGGGACTGTTGGAGTAGTGCAGCTGGAACAAGTCTGGAGACCCAAGGTGCTGAAGACAGGCCTAAGGGGGAAAAACAGTTCTGTGGCCCAGGCATAGGCTGAAGAAAGCCATAGTTCTTAAAGAGACAAAAGTGACTTGACGGGCTGTTAAGGAGTGTTGGAGAGGCTGATGTGCTCAGTATGTGAGCATTGAGGCCTCCCTGCCACGTCAGGCTGGACTGTGCAGTGTGGGCGGGGCTGGCATGAGAGTGGGTATACCATTATCCAATGGGCAAGGAGAAAGGAGGAGGGGGAGCTTCCGGAGCTTTGCTATTGCTCAGGCAAACCGAAAGGGACTGGAGAGTCCGGTGGTTCCAGAGCCATGTGGGGGACACAGTGGGCTGAATATTCGGATTCTGAATCAAATTCACAGACAAATGATTTGTACATACCTTAGGAGGGTTAGATTAACAGCCTGGTTCAGAGCAGCCATTGCAGCTGGAAAACGAGGAAGGGGGAAGATGGAGGCAGGGCTTGGCCGAAGGAGGGAACTTGGGTTGAGGAGCTGAGACCTTGGAGGCAATGGGGATCTGCTGGTATGACCATACTTGTTGGTAGAACATCACTGTAAAATATTGGCTATAGAGGGAGAGACAAGAACATAGTTCCCAACAAACCTGTATAGAAGGGAGTTCAGACCATACCTAAGTAGAAAATTTAAGATCATGGAGAATGTTAACATCAGGAATGTTCTCTCATGGTCATTTACTGAAGCCAGGCCATAGAACAAAGGTGCTTTGGGCTTAAAGTCTGAGAAAGGTCCAATTTGGATATTTGGATAAATTTTGTAACAGACACCCCAGGGGTGACTGTGGATTGGGTTTAAACTCAGCTTTGCTCATCTCCCAGCCTAGGCAGAGACCCCAAGGCCTGTGACACAGTGTCCCATCTGTCAAACAGTATCCCTGGGGTCAAAGAGTGGTAGGTGGGGAAACTTTGGAAAGGATTTCTCCAAATCCAAAGGCTCCTGAGAACAAAGTCC